ACTAAAACGTACAGGCAAACTTGCACATCCTAGAGGTAAGGATGTGCTGGCGTTTTTTTTTTTTAGAATCAGAGATAATATTGTTTACTCTGAGATCTTACACTCTGGTAAAAATATATAAAACAATTTCATTATTACAGGGTTTACTGACAGGTGAATACGTTTTTGAATCAGTAAATGTAACATTAAAACCCGAACTAACGTTTATAAATAACAGACATGCATAGGCTGTTGGATCCTCAAGGTGTTACAGTGACAGATAAGTCATACCATTTATGGCAACATCTGTATCCCACCCTCTTATATAAGCAAATTGCAGAGGGTCTAGATTGGGATCTATCTCTGACTTCAGAATACCCGTAGACACAATATATTTTCAAAACATTTCATAAAAACTGAAGTTGAAACAGCAGGTTTAAATAAATTGTTCAGGGTTTTTTAGCGACTGGGACTAACAGAGTGATAGGGCATCAAGCTTGTGTGAGCTCCTCTGAGACCTCTTCAAAAAAAGAGCTGAAATGTTATCTGGACCCGCAGATTTATGCTTCTTAACCCTACTAAAAAGAGTGTTCTTACTTTTTGTGGATCAGCTTCCAACCTAGTACACATTATCCATCCATCCATTTTCTATACAAGCTTAATCCCAAGTGGGGTCGCCAGGAATGTTGGTGCCTATCTCCAGCTGTCAATGGTCGAGAGGCAGGGTACACCCTGGACAGGTCGCCAGTCCATTGCAGTAGTACACATTATCAATACTTAAAATGGATTTTAAAATATCTGCAGATTCCACAGAGACATCCTGAATTTTAGATCTCAGGTAAACATAATTTAGCTAATTCGTCTGCATTTTATCATTGTTTTTTACAAGGCTTTTTCTTTTTGTTGTCATAGTAGCTGCCATTTTTAAAGATACCCAAAGTTTTTTTCGAATCCATTAAGACCAAATTCTGCTTGATGGTGTCCTTATACCTCTTCCCTGATTCCTTAGTATCTGACTGGCTTACTTCAAATCTGACAGAGCACTTTTGTGTATTTTAGGTTTGATTACCAAAATTGTTTCAAACTTGCTAAATGAAAGATTAATGACAGAAATTTGTTTCAACTGATGGATCTTGCGCCATCAGTTAATTGAAATCAGTGTTGGAGCTAGACGGTTGTATGAAGGAGAAATCTGAAATCAGGCGTCCCTTCAGCTGACTGACATGCCTCCTGTACATCCTTGCAGTTCTTGGTGCATCGAGGTGGAAACAGTGCAATTAAATTATGCAAAGATACAGTACTTAGATAAAAATGTTACCCATACTTATATAATTGTTACCAATACACAATTTTACCCGAATAAAAAATAAAAAATAGCAGAAAAAAAAAAACAATTAACATGATTTTGTTGCTTTTCATAACATTTTAGTTTTCTGGTGATTCTGATCTTTTCTCAATATACCCATCATCCTTATGTCCAATAGTTTTAGATAACACACTCTGAAGTAAAATCCAACTGTACTGAATAATTATAAATAATAATATTGTTTGCATTCTTTGCCAAAATAATATACAGCATGTTTATATGGTCATATTCTTAAATATAACTGGTTACTTTCAACCTCCAGTGCTATATAATTAAAAGGTTGCAATCAATCAACCAACGCTAGGAATAACTTTGCATTGTATAGTAGTACACAAGAGAGGAGTACTGTAACATAAATGCAAAAACTGAGGAAAGAATTGCAGAAAAGGTGAGATGGGAAAGAAAACTATATGATTTTTTAGGAAAAAGACATCAAGAGGAGATAACTGGAATGAGCAGAAAGCAGGACAGAGTAATACCAAAACTTACATATTAAATCACATAAAATTCTAAATTCTATACTTATCTAAATATAAAGCATAACACAGGCCACTTTAGGGAGAATGAAACAATAGAATATTTAATATACATAATATACTGTATATGGTTGGATGGTAACTGGCATGTACTTGTTTAGGACTTTATTTTGCTTCTCTGTTTTCATGATAATAATCCCTATATCACTTTATAAACACATTAACATGATGACGTTGTGTCAGAAATCTTATCCCTTTGTGCCTAGCTTGTTTTTAAATCCATAAAGACCTTAGAAACTCCAATTACAACTGAGTGCTTCGCCGTTGCCTGAAAGTTGTATGCAAGTTTAAATGAAAAATCCCCTTCAAGACATCATGGTTGAATTCCTGTATTTTTTTCACAATGTCAAAGATGTAAGTTATGTGCCTGAGACGTTACCTTATCAACACATGTGCTTACCACTCACAATGTGTTATATATCAATTTTAAAATTTATAGATTTTAGATGACATTGTAGATGGATTCATATAAGTGGTTTATATAACCATCTTCTTTGGAGCACATGACAAAAATATAACATTCAAATTATTGTCATACATAAGAAGAAAGATTTCTGAATCTAAAGCCACAGGTAAATGTGATGATTTACTTCAAATGGTTTCTTACCGCCCTTGAAATGTTGAGGAAAAATAATGTCTCTTTAAGCATAGACAGACAGCAGACTAGGCAGAAAAGAAAAGAATAATGTAAAGACTGTAAAGAAAAAAAAAAAAACAGGCTTCTGCAGTTTTAAGGATGTAACCATGGTAACAAGATTAGGATGAGTCAGAGTTGATAACTTTTACATCTGATTGTGAGCTGAGTAAAGGTCAAAACAGCGTGTGATTAAGGATGAGACTAACAGTTTTCCCACTGTTTGTAGTCATGCCCCACTGAAACATTAATACAGAGAATCAATTAAATAACTTCAAGGGTCCCCGTATAAAATAGTTTTTATTTAAAAAGAAAATGCTGCCACTCAGAGGAATCTCGCATTCCTTAGTGACTGCGGTAGAAAACTTGAGCAAGTATGCAGGAGAATGACTTAGACTTGGAACAGTGGAATTTCTATGGATGTTTCATAAGGATCCTGATCTACTTTAAAGGCAAGTGAAGCAGGTCAGACCAGATCGGGAGAAGTTGGAGCACTCCATTGTGACTTCTCTGTGCTTAGAACTTTTTGAAAAGGATGTATTTTCTATTTGTTCCGATATTGAAAGACTTGCCTTATTTTTCAGTGAAAATTTTCCATTAGCAGCTGCCAACAGCTGTTCCTTCATATTATTCCTGAGGAGCTGGCTTATTGAATCATAACTCTATGGTGTAGCTGTTTCATTTAATTTCCTCAAGTTAGAGGTCCAGGTATTCATCCTTGTACTGAATTACATATACCAAGTCACTCTGTTTGTGTAAAGGAATTTTGTCCTGAGGACACAGCCTCTGTCTGAGTATTTAGTTGGGTCTGAAGCACCCAGAATGTTGCATTTGGCAAAAATTCTTCACACTTTCTCAGATGTTTTTGAAATATAAGGGATATTACCTATTTCTTTGTTTAGTTCAGTGGTGTTGTTTTTTATTTACTTGCTGCCTCAACAATGAAGAGCAAAAGTCAAGAGCCTTCCACTACAGAAACTGAAGTCCATAATTTTTGCTTTTAAACAATTTTTTTATTTGCCCTGTCCTGTTTACCGGGAATCTTTACCAGAATTGTCTGTAACAGCCAATTATCTGACTTAATTTTAAATCCTACACACAATAAATTACATTTTACCTTTCTTTCATTTCCATTTCATAGGATGAGTGTGAAGAGTGTGAAGTTACCATATAAACTGTTACTATATTATTTACAGATTATACAGAGCAGTTATGCAAACATTACAGCTGAGTACCCAATTTCTAAATATTATATCTCACATAAACTTAAACATTAGTTACACAAATTTGAATCAGAAGTGGTTAGGGTTACAAAAACAAAAAAGGAGTAAAAAGCAAGATATTTACTGTGAAGTACACTTAAATAATAAAAAAAATTAATAATTTCTAATATATTAAAAGTAAAATAATTTCTTATTAAAGTTTATCTCCTTTCTAACCAAAGGTTACAATGTGAGACTTCTCATATGCAGTATGTGGAGTCTGTGTTTACTTCCTGGCTCCTGTGCACAGCATAGCATTTCAAGGAATTGCTAAAACAGAGTGCAGCATTTTGTATTCATGTTGGCAAAAAAGAGCAGCAGCCATCAAGCAGGATAGCTGGAAAGAGATGCAAACCAGAAACACCTAAGAAGCTTCACCATCCTCCAGAAGCATTCGCAAGCCATCCAAAAGCAGACCCATCCAACCGACACAGTCCGGCAAAGCTTTCCCTAACTATGGAGATGCCTAACCTTTCCAAAACGCAGATCAACAGAGGTTAAAAGACTAGCAAAGTTCGAGAAAGCATAACAAAATCAATGAATTTAGTGGTCTTAGGGCCTAATTTAGATACACATTTTCTGTCAAATTTCTGGATCAGACCTCAGGTATTGTTGATGAATATTTCGGACAAATAGAGAAAAGGTTAAGAAAAATAGATACAGTGACAACAATAAAGCACACAAAATCACATTTATTTTTTTCCTTTTACAAATAGAAATTAATAAAACTGATAAACAGGTTATTCTTCATTTACACACATCACAGGGCCACCACCGAATTAATTTTGCACAATGAGCCTTTCAGTGAAATATACTTCAATTTGCCACTTTGCTCAAAAGGTTTTTGATCATGAAGTTGGTTTAAAAATGTTTTAAATAAGATAGCATTACACTTTTCTATGTAAATATTTGTATGTCATTAATGTATATTTTATTTTATTTTTTTTATTTACCAAAATTCTCAAATACAGAGGGAACAAACCCCACAATGGTATGTGGGAACAAAATCCTTTATGAATTAATTATGGCAGGATTGTACATTTCTAAAGCTGCCATTAAAACTATTTATGTCTATATTTACCATTTTAGCTTCAGCCTCAAATCCTTACCTACACTTTTTATAATGACTGCACAGTAATCTCTGACACTGAGTGCAAGTCTTAAGCATGCACTGGCAGTCAGAATGAGAACAATTTGTCATACATGTTTTGTCCTTTGCTCACCTGAGTCGGAGCTGTACATGTAGACAAACCTGGTCCAGTAGAAGTGATCCAACAGGGCCATGAGGGGCTCCTGCAGCTGGGGCCGCAGCTGCAGGACAAACTGATTGTTGGTCTGAACAGGAAAGGATGGCGTGACGAAGCACACGTGTAGAGAACCGCAGAAAGACATAAGCATGTTGACCGTCCTCCGATCATACAGGCCCATAATGGCGTACACACCCTTAGAGAACTGGGAGCAGACTGGAAGAAATGAGAAGGGAAATGGGAGGAGAAAGAAAATCTGGGTGAATTTCTTAAAATAAATAAATGTTTACAAAAATATTAAGTGTCATTTCTAAAATGAGCTTTTACTCCTTTATGATTTCTAAAAAGGAAAACAGCAACAACAAAATGCCCCCACATTTGTTTCTTCACTGCCGTTACCTCTGGGCTTTATTTTCATTTACAAAACAATTGCTATATTAGAAAAACAAAACAAAAAAACATACCAAATATTTTATGTTTTGATTTGATTTACAAATTATGCTATCCAGGTCCCGTCCACAGGAAGACGAACCCTGGCCTAAACGCACAAATTTTTCACCAAACCAGCCTCTCATCCACACGAAGCCGGCGTTTCGGGGGTCTGTAAACGATCTTTTTTATTCAGCCTTCAGAGTGGGAAGATTTTGAAACGCCGTTTTCGCGTTTCCATCTTTACGCTCTAACCGCATATTTTGTTTTACACGCATGCGTCATAGCGTCGCCTCTAAACACGCATGCGCGACACAGTATCACAACAACAATGGCGCCGTTGCTGCTAATGCTACTCACCCTGCTGTCGGGCTTACAACAGAATCTTCTTCTTCTGGAATATCTCCAGGAAGAACAGAGCAATATCGACGACATAGTTCAGCACCTGAATTTGACTTAACCACGAAAATGGACCCGCAGGGCAACCATGTATAAATATTAGTGCGCATGCCCAACATTTCGTCGCTTATTTTTGCTTTGGCACCACAGCGCCACTTACAGGCCTGGCATACATTTTGCAGCGTTTTCATGCATTCGTGTGGACGCTCACATTTATTTTACGTCTCCGTCTTTACGGCAAACGTTTTGGAAAATATCAGCGTTTCGTGTTCGTTTTGACTTCGTGTGGACGGGGCCCCAGATTCATAGTCCGCTATTTTTTACCCCTTCAATTTAACATTGTGATACCTAAATAAGTCCTACTGGACTTTCTTCTCTGTATGAATAAACTTGTATAACACTTTAGGTCACAGCTGAGAACAGCCTGCAGCTTTTCTAAAGGTACTGTATGAATTGTAATGCTACATAGTGTGGATGAAAAAGTTCAAATAAGGTCACTTCATATCACATTCATATTCTTATTTTCAACTGACTCACAAGGCTTCATTTTTCAACTTACAAGCAATAAAAAGTTTCCAGCATATACAGTACAGTATCTGCTCTGTGAGCATGGTGATATCAGTTTTCTGTCTTTGTGTTGATGTTATTTATAACTATCAGTTAAATGCATTGCAGCCACAGAGTCAGAGTACATAGAGATAGGAAAAACTACGAATGTTGTTTTGACTCATATTTCTCTGATAACAAAAATATTCAGTTACGTCGGATGTTTTTCACACTACTTACTGATTTAAATATAGGATTATTTTAATTCAACGAAGATGTTTAATCTCAATAAAAAATAAGATAATATAGCAATTTAAAACAAGTAACAAATATGTTTTTGTTTACACAATATCACAAAATTGTGCAATTAAAATGATCTATTTCCTTTTCAATAATTAAGGAAAAAGTCATTATTGGCATAAAAGTAATGAAATCTTTTATCTGACGGAAGATTTTGGAGTTTTACTGCTAGTATTAAAAAGAAAAAAGCTGATGAGGACACCTGGGAAACACACACACACAAAAAAAATTGTGGCTAATATTGGTTTTTAAAGTTGAAACGGATTTTTAAAATTCAAACAAATTTAATTACTGTCCCAGAATGAAAATTGAAATTGCAGCTTAGGATATTTTTTTTTCTTGAATTTGTTTTATGAGAAAAAGTGTCTTTTGTGACAGAAATCCTGGGAATTTGGCCAAATAAAATATAAAAACTCTGGGTATCTTTTTTAAAAATAGCACAAAGGAAACTTGTGAAGAGTCATTTTTTTTCCTAATTGCAGAAAAGCTAACTGAGACACAGATAACATTTAGTCCCTTTCTTAAACCAGTTCAAATTACTGGTTTTATACAGCAGTTTTTTTAGAGTAAAGTTTTCTCAATTCAGTAATAGGGTTTAGATCAGCTTAGTTTCATTGGTGAGAAAACTAACCCTAACCTTTATGATTGATTTAACTGTCTTTGTAAAGTGCATTGAGATGATGTCTGTTGGGAATTGGCATCATATAAATAAACTGAATTCAAATTAATTGAAAAGTCACATTCTTTAGTGTCTGAAAGACTCTGATTCTTTAAAAATTTTATATAACAGATAACCAGAGAAGTCAGAACCAATAAGGAGGTGAAAAAAGAAGTTAACTATTATCAAACCTCCACCCTCTATATTGATTGTTCTGAATAAGAAAATCCAACTCTTCCTTAAAATATCACCTTTTTCAACTCAACATTGATCAATTTTTTTCCATTCAATCACTTTTACAAGAACATCTTGCAGTCTGGTAACATCTGGATATGTTTATATTTTTAGGAACAATTAATGTTTTAGAAAATGTTGAATGACGGTTAAATATAGGCCTACAAAACAACCAAATATTTAACTATTAATTTTCTATGTTCATCAATTTCATTTGCATTTTGAATAAAAAGTATCACCAGAACAACCATTTATTATGTCAAATGCAAAGCCCCACTTGTTATTTGTGCTGTGGTTTGGTTAACCAGCTCCTGGGTTTTCTCTTTTTCTACCATTTAAACAAAAAGAAAACTAGAAAAGAAATATGCAATCTTTCTCCATTTCTCTGTCAGTGTGAATTCCTCCACCCTCCAGGCTGCTTTTCACCTTCTGTCCTCTTCCTTCATGTCATCCTCTTTCTAACAACATTTTGTCTTGGAGTGTGACTTGTTTTTGAGCTGTGCTGTCACCCAGAAATTCAGGTCAGTGAAACTGAGCTCATGTTTCAGCCATGCCACAAAATATTTTTTAATAGTTGCCCCTTGATGCATCTCCTTTTTTCTACATTTGGCAGCCATTCATAAACGTAAACAATCCTACAGCCTGCACACCTACTATTTTTCCAATTTCCTTTTTATTGCAAATACAACACAGAATCATAAATCTCCATTTGATGGTATGCTCAGAAAAGATAAAGTGGCCTTCTCTTCATGGCGAACTGAACTAAATTTCTACTGCTGTGTAGCTGATGAAGCTCACTTCCCTGTCTAACACAAAGGGCTTCCACATAGTAAATCCTCACCCACACAATGGAAATAATCGAATTACTTCATGCAGAGCTCCTTCACAGCCTGGGATTAAGACAAAATAATTCTCGCTGTTGCAGCAGCTGAAGTCATTGAGCAAACCAAAGTCTTATTCTCTGCTCCTCCAGGATTCAGAACAAATCTAAGCATAGAGCATCTATGCTGTCACCTTAAAAAAATGCTCAAACGGAGAGAAGCCTTAATATTGCTAAGAACAATACTGAGGGCCTCCATGACAGGCTAATCAATCAAAACAGAACTTGCCTTATGCTTGAAGGGACAGTTCATTATGAATTAGTTTTTTTATTGGCAAAAATCTACATATCCTCCCACAGTCAAATAACATATCACTTAAAAAATGAAATTAAAAGATTAAAGTGTCCCCATAGTTAAGTTGAGTAGAGTTGTTTATAAATATGTTTGTAATTGTGCACCAATTTAAGCTTCCATGTTGCATTGAGAGCTTAAATCATGGTAGCCGAAGGCATACAAATATGGTAGCCTTAAGCATTTTACCTTTATCTGTATACTTCTTGTTAGAGAAGTATTAAACAGGTAAATATGCTGAGATCATTCTACCTCCCATTTTCTTTTGAAATGGAGACCATCCATACTCTTTGGAAAGTTAGAGGGAAGGAAAAGTAACAGAGAAAAGAATAAAAGAAGTAAAAACCGGGAGAAAAGTCTACATTTGTGAAGTTTTTACCACATGGAGACAATTATAAAATGTTTTGGGCTTCAAAACGGATGCAGCGAATTGTAAGCAGGTAAGCTCTCTGAATATAATAGTCAACTTTTTTTATTGGTGTCTAGTCCAGCAATTAATTTGCCCTCCCAGCAGGGATGGTGCTGAACAAGGTCCAACACAGTTATCGTTTGTAACCCTTCACTCAAGCAGGTACTGTAACCATATGGTTCTTTTAGATGTAGCTGCTGACAGATTTTTCATGTGTTTCATAATTTATTTTAGCTAATTATTCAAGTATGGTTAGTTCTCCATTTAAAAATATTTTTTTTGATAAGCATAGTCTCTCTAGTCAGAAAAAATAGAATATTTTGCCATTTTAAAGTCATGTCATTTTCTTGGCATTATTTGATGACTAAGCCAAAAACATTCAATGTTAAAAAATATATATATATAAAAAAAAAAAAACAGAATTATGCATCTCATTACCTTATCACTGCGCAGGATGCTTGAACACATACAGGAAGTGGATATCAGGACATTTATGACACCCTTAGACTTAAACCACTTTAAATGTCACAACATTTCAGACATTTCAATACCTTAAAGTGCAGTAGTGATCAAATGTAAACAGTGTGGGAGATAAAAAAACTAAACAAAACATGGTGTCTGTAGAAGTCATTAAATGCAGCGAGGCACCAGAGTGTGTGTCTTGGGCATTTATAATTCATTTGGTGCACCACTATTGTAGAAATTCTTACATAATAGTGATTTAATATTCTATTTTCCCATAAAAAATTTGAAGGTCATCATAATCACACAGTTTTTGTTCTTTAACTTATAATGCTTAAAACCTTTGAGTAAGGTTGTTCATTCAGCTTGTCTGATATCTAGCTTGAAAAGTTAACATTTTTGCTCTTTCCCAATGAGACAGAATAGGTCCTGATGTGGCCTTTTGTATTTGAAAGATTTGTTACTTTTAATAAACAGTCACAATGAAAGGAAGGGAGAGACTGAGGCAGTGTGAGGTCTGACCTTAACGTCCATAGTTGAGAATCTTTATTTTAAGACAATGCAATATGAAGAGATATAATCTGTCTGCAACAAAAGGTAT